CCCCCCCCCCTACCCCCTGCCCTGACCCTCCCCCCCCCCGAAATTCTAAACCCCTCAGCTTTATCCAACAGTTCCTTCTTGAACCCCAAACTCTTCATCTCTAGACCAACCTCAGAGCCCACAAACCTAACTGGAGCCCTCACCCCCTCTGGCATCCCAATCCTCTGCCTCAGTCCATTACCCCTCCTGCACCCTGAACTCCTCTTTTCTGGCCCTCACCCCCTTCCACACGCCAAACCCCAATTCTAAACCCCTCAGCTTTATCCAACAGTTCCTTCTTGAACCCCAAACTCTTCATCTCTAGACCAACCTCAGAGCCCACAAACCTAACTGGAGCCCTCACCCCCTCTGGCATCCCAATCCTCTGCCTCAGTCCATTACCCCTCCTGCACCCTGAACTCCTCTTTTCTGGCCCTCACCCCCTTCCACACGCCAAACCCCTGGACCTAGCCATTGAAAATGAGTGAGTGAATGAGGGAGGAGAGAGCAAGAGACAGAGGGGGGGAGATGGATTGAGCTGATGCAGCTGAAGGAGAATCAACAGAAACAGCAAGAGGCCCATTAGCAAGAAGTCCACTCCAAACAGCAGAGGTGAATACAGAAGAGGTTGGGCCATGCCACACCTAGCAATGCTGTTGGTGATGAGACTAGGGGCCAGTTGGCTCTAGGCCTGGCAAAAGCCCAGACCAGAAAAAGACCCTGAGGCTTTTCTCCAGACACGTCCGTGGGTGGCCAAGGCAGTGCATGGAGAGGTATGGACTTGGGTGGCCCAGATAGCACCGCTCCAGACGGGCAAGGTGCAAGTGGCTTACCAGGCAGTGAGCGATAAGCAGCCAGGCTTCTACGTGGTGGTGAAGGCCCAGGGTCTGGGTAGAACCCTTCCCTCGGGGGGCATGACTGTGGGTTGTGGCCCGGAAACCACAGGACCTAGCAACACAGGGACTCTGCCCAGAGACCAGTTTGATGGAGAAAGTTCTGGATCAGGTCGTCCTGGAGATTCTACTGGGGGGGTCACTTACAGCTGGGAGCCACGGAGTGAGCTGAAACCGTCTCTGAAGTGGAAGGAGGTGAGTGGCTCGGGCAGTATAGTAAACTGAGGGGCGTTCACCCGGGATCACCCAGGAAAGCCCTCAAGGGGGAAAGACCCTGAGTGACCTAAGCATGGAGAAGGGCACAGCACTTACAAGAGACCTGGGGAGCCCTGCAGTTTACTGGGAAACACCAGAGGGCACCATTGTTTGCTTTAGGTGTGACCAGTCTGGGCCTATGAAAAAAAATCGCTTGATTAAGGAATTTGACTTAGTCAACTATTGCTATAGTGAGCCCTAGCAGCAGGGGTCTTCTCCAAAAATCAGGGATGTTGCTGTGGGTAATTGCAGTTAGGGTGGCAGGAACTCTAATTAAGGGACTTGTAGACTCTGCTTCAGGAAGACCTGGTGAGATTGGATAGCCTTGAGTGACACCTCCCAGTATATGTCTCCTGTATCCATGTCAGGACCCATGTCTATCCCACCGCAGAAGGTGAGCTGGAGAACTCGACTGCATGTTGGGGTGGCCTAGGAAGGGCCTTCTTTGGTGCATAGTTCTGGGGAGTGACTGAGTGGGTTTCTCAGCCCTTGTGCAAGTAGGGCAAGGACACCAGGCCAGGGCCAGGGTCTGATTAGGAATGGCAGTAATGATGCTGAAAGCCACAGTAAGGATGACAAAGGGAGACCAAGAGAAAGAACACAATTTTCCTAACCTAGGGAGTGCCAATAAGAGTTGGACGAGGTAAATAATAAATAGATTGATCAAAGTCCCTTTCTTAATCCTATCTGGCCGAATGATGGGATTGCCTGTTATATGGAGTTTTAAGTTACTCCCCAAATAGTGGTGTTGCTATATAAAAGGGAGCAATTTTTAAATGTAGTAGTCATTATACTCCAAATATTTTTGGCTGCTGCAATAACTGGAAATTGTCTTTAGGGACTCAGTAGTAATCCAAGTGCTGCACATTGCAAAGGAGTAAAGCAGCAACCTATTCTTCTTCCCCCTTGAATTCAATCCAGGGTTCCAGCAGGCAAAGACAAGCGGTTGTGCTACTTTTTAGAGGAAACTGTTCTGATGTTCCGATCTCTCAGGGTATGTCTACACTACCTCGCTAGTTCGAACTAGCGGGGTAATGTATGCATACCGAACATGCAAATGAAGCCCGGGATTTGAATTTCCCGGGCTTCATTTGCATAAGCCGGCTGGCGCCATTTTTAAATGCCGGCTTGTTCGAACCCCGTGCCGCGCGGCTACACGCGGCACTGGCTAGATAGTTCGAACTATGTGGAACGAGGAGTACAGATAGTTCGGAATGGCTACGTAGTTCGAACTATCTAGCCCGTTCGAACAAGCCGGCATTTAAAAATGGCGCCGGCCGGCTTATGCAAATGAAGCCCGGGAAATTCAAATCCCGGGCTTCATTTGCACGTTCGGTATGCATACATTACCCCGCTAGTTCGAACTAGCGGGGTAGTGTAGACATACCCTCAGTGACTATTGAAAACAATCTGTGAGATTTTCATAGGTGGGGGAGAGTGAGAGATGGAAGGAGGGGTGGTGGAGTCAGGGGTGTGGTCTAGGAGAAGGGGTGGGGTAGGGGCCTGGCCTCAAGGAAGGAAATGGGGTAGGAGTGTTCAGGTTTATTGTGACATTATCATGGTGATATAAAAGAATTGATGATAACCTGTACAAATGTGAGTGTCAGTAAAATTCCACAAATGCCATGGGAGTTATTTAATATATATTATTGCCTCTATATAAATCCATGGTATGCTCACATCTTGAATACTGTGTACAGATGTGGTTACCTCCTCTCAGAAAATATACTGACACTGGAAAAGGTTCAGAAAAGGGGAAAAAATTATGTGGGGTTTGGAACGGGTCCCATATGAAGAGAGATTAAAAAGACTGGGACTTGTCAGTTTAGAAAAAATGAGACTAAGGGGGGGATATGATAGAGATCTATAAAATCATGACAGATATGGAGAAAGTGAATAAGGAAAAGTTATTTACTTGTTCCCATAACATAAGATCTAGGGGTCAAGAAATTAAATTAATAGCAAGTTTAAAACAAACAAAAATAAGTTTTTCATCACACAGTGCACAGTCAAACAGTGGAACTCCTTGCCAGAGGATGTTGTGAAGAACAGGACTTTAACAGGATTCAGAAAAGAACTAGATAAATT